CTGGAGGAGGAACGGATCCGCTGCTCTTGTGGTGGTGAGCAGGAGGTGCTACCGAGCCAGAGCCTGTCATATGAAAACAAGGATAGATGAGTGAATGTGTAACTGCAAAACAATCAATCCGCGAAGCTGCTGTATCATTTCTCACCATGCTTGCTGGCTCCCTTGGAGACTGCGCTACCCTTGGTCGACTTGCTTGCTCCCTTGCTGGCGCTGCCCTTGGAAGCCGCCTCATGGTGGTGCGCATGATGTTCGTGCTCGTTACGTTCCTTGGTCGAAGCCGAGCCCGAGCTGGTGTGAATCTGGAGCGAGTTCGAGCCTTCGGCTAACCATCGGCCACGAAGGAGCGTCTTGCGAGTCTCGGGATTCTTTGGAGGATTCGAGTGCGTAAAGGACGCAACAGAGACAAGGAGAAGGGAGAGGACGAGTGACTGCATCATGATGTTGATTGTGGAGTTGATGGATGATGAGTGCTCACGACGAATTTACAAAAAGTGTGTGTGTGCCGATTGATTGTGTTGTTTGTGTGTGAGCTCGATGCTGCAACGGCGTTCACGCTTCGCGCCACCCGGCTGGCGACGTTGGCACACATTACATAGGCTATCGCAAGGCTCACGCGCAGTTTAAATCTGAACGGATGATTTGAATGTGGTGCGAGCTTCGATGATCCAATGCGCTCGATTCAACTTCCGATAAGATTCATTCGAGGTCGATCTTACGTAGAAATCGTACGCACACGTAGTACGAGTCGTTAAGTGCCGGATCCTGTAAAAATCGCAGTGGTTATGGATGAGAACTGGTGCGACATTTTAACGGGTTCCCAACGCTCGGACACAAACCATGGGACCGATGACCCTGCCATCGAAAAAGCACGATTAGGTTTTTCCAAATGTCACCGCGTTCTTTGACAGTGAGCGTCCCAGGTAACAACGCTTTACATGATACAAACAAGGCAAACAACAATGCCAGACAGCAGCATGTCTACTACTACAAGCAGAACAATTCACCACATGCGACGTTTCGCCATCTGCCTCGCAATATCCGCTGTGACGTGCGTCGACTCGTTGGCACCTCCGCATCCAGACTGGCTCGACTACGAGAGTGTTCACGCGGAACGACGTCGGCGCAACGTTACCTACGACTACACGCCCCAGCATGTGACGGCGGAACACTGTCGCTTTCTGAGTGAGGAGCTTTGCGAAATGGAGGATCAGTTGACGGGCCGGGTGCGACAACAGAATCTGGAACGCGTCGAGCAACGGCGTCGCGGCCTTCAAGTGGGTGTTCCAATCGAATTTCCTGGCAATTCCAACAAGGATATACTACATTCTCCCAACATTGGAGAGTTCAAGATTCCAGTGCTGCTGATACGCTTTCCGGAGGATGTTAACAAGCCGTTGCAACCGCTGGAATACTTTGACGAAATGTTCAACGGCAAGGGAACATCAGACGTTAATCCTGCTGGTTCAGTGGCGGAATGGCTCTTTTACAATTCACTTGGACAATATAAAGTCACGTTTGACGTGCAGGACTGGACGACGGCTCCAAATCCAGCTTCCTTTTACGCCAAGGGTAACGCCGCCAAGTTGGGCATTTTGATTGCGCAAGACGTGTTTCGATGGAAGCTTGACGAAATGGATGCCGCGAACTTTGACTTTTATCAGTACGATCAGGATAAAGACGCACGCATTGACCATATGATTGTTTTGCATAGTGGCTTTGCTGCTGAATTTGGAGACCTTGAATGTGCTCCCGGTAGTTGGATGGACCGGATCTGGAGCCAAGCCGCCGTTGGCGGTGTCAGTGACGGCTTCATGTCGCGCAATCCGCAATCGTACGGACAATACCTATCGTCCTTTGCCTTGGCCAGTGCCATTGGTACGAAAGGACTCTGCGATTCGCCTGGTGGTGACATGGGCATCCCGTCTCATGAGGTACGTGGCCTTATAAGCATTTTTAGCTTTAGCACTTGATTGTTCTTTGAAGGCTCACACGTTTTCGTCTTGCCTCAGTTCATGCACGGTTTCGCGCTGCCGGATCTCTATGACACTGATCCAGATGATGTAGCCATCAAAATTGCTGGTCCTGGAAGCTTTGATGTCATGGCGAATGCGTTTGGTTTCAATCGAAATGCCAAGGTGAGTTTGTTGATCGACTTGCGTCGCGACGATATAGGTCGATACAAGTCTCACGTCATGTCTCTGCTAACATTCATTATAGTTTCCCGGCATGCTGTCGTCATTCAGTCGCCAATACGGTGGCTGGCTGACTCCTATCAACATTACTAGAAGTGGATATTACGCTGTTCAGCCGGCGGAAGTTTCGGGAACGGCGTATCGCATCGACGCTGGCTTTCCAGCCGGCGAATACTTACTAATTGAAAATCGGGCAGGACTCATGTGGGCTGGAGATTGGCCGGCAAGCGGTATAGTGATCTTTCATATTGACGAGAATGTAAGGCTGGACTCTGTTGGATGATGCCTGCGTTATTCGTCTCTATTTGCTCACACTTGAGCACCCTCGTCTTTGCAGGCGCCCATGCAAACTCAACGCGGCTATCCTGGTCACGCGAACTGGCCACAACAACACTATCGAGTCAGTGTACTTCAAGCGGACGGTAATTACGATATTGAGCAAGGAGTGAACTTGGGCGACGAAGGGGACTTTTGGATCAAGGATATGGTTCTTGGACCGGGCCCCGATGTCTGGCCAAACACTGACAGCTATCAAGGCTCGCAATACCAGACGGGTCTTCAAATTACCATCATGTCAGATCCTGGCTTCATCATGATCATCAAGGTCGATGGGATATCGGGAACGAATGCTGCGCCGGGCTTTGCACCAGTTGATCCGTCCGATGTTTACAATCCTGGTCAGGCTGGACAATATATGCCCAATCAAGGAGCAATGAATAGCTACACGGGAACAACGGAGATCGATGATTTTAAAAATACTGGGAGAGTCATCGCATGGGTGCTCTCCTTACTGGGAGGCGTTGCCATGGTGCTGGGCTTGTTGGTGGTGCTGCTATAATCTCGTCGCACCGGGGTGCATGCCTCGCACTTTAGGTGACACTGACTGCATTTGGGGAACAAAAACAATTTCGCAAATCGTTAACGAATTCGTAGATAGATATACAAACTTCAATTCATGACAACGTATCATGTCTTACCATCATTGGCGAATGAGACAGCATCTTGCACTAGCATGGTGTATACAGTGTACTTTACCGGTAGCTAAAATACGAAACGTAGAAAAGCTAATTAGATGCCTAAATTACGTTGGTATAGCGGCGTGCTAGTAAGTCTATTGGCCATACGAGTATGCATGAGCAGCGTCGTCGGCACGGTGCAGATACTCAGCTTGCCGATATGATATTCAAGACAGCATATCCGCATCATGATCGTCATCACCATTGGGACCGCTATCCTTTTCTCGCTTCTTGTGCTGCTCCTCCATGGCATCCAAAAGCTTTTGGTTGGCCGTGTCGGCGCTGAATCCCTTGGTTCCGCCCTGCGCTTGATCCAAATCTTTTTCGTGCAAAAAGGGTGCTTCCATGTATTCGCCCGGAGCCAAACGAAACTTGAGTACGCCCTTCTCCAGGTCAATCTGACAAGTGTGTCGCTTCATCATGTCCAATCCAAAGAGAAAAGGCATTTCGCTGCCAGAACCAGCATCATCCATGACTGTGACACTGCAGGGAAAGTACATGCCTCCAATTTGCAACTGCACCATGTGAATTCGTCCAACAATCTTGCCAGTGCCAACGCCTTTGGCGATTCCATGAAAGCGCGTGTCAATGTAGTCGTCAAGGCCGCATTCCTTGGCGACGCGAAGACTCATAATGGTCGTTTGCGCACCAGAGTCGCAAAAGGCTTGAATCGGATGATCGTTGATCTTGGCTTGTACGTAGAGCATTAAAACTTGACCAAGAGCTTCCGGATACTCGTTCATCATTTGCGTGTACTGCTCGTGAACCTTGCTGCGTCGCTCCTTGGCTGCAAAGTACTCCTTGGCTTCCGCGTCGTCCGGATTGGAGGCAAGCTGGCGAACCATATCCGACTCCTTGCGGCCGCTTTCGGTGATGCGCATGGCATTTTTGATTCCAGACTCAACAAGGTGATTGCGCCAAAACTGAACGGCTTGATCGAGTGGTTTGTTGCGGAGTTGGGAAGCCAACTTGGGATCGTGATAGTTCAATTCCTTGAGCAAGTGCTCCTTGGACTGCAACAGCGTAACCTGAATGCATGAACGAACATGGATGAGAGCAGTGGCACATTAGTGAGCATATGCATGTCATCAAGTAAAAAGTGGAATAGATCAAACAAGCATGGCACGTACAAAGGCGTGCGGATGCGGGTTATAATGCATGGCATCATTCACATCCATTCCATTCCAATATACTGGCGCCGGCAATTGCCCATTCGGCTGGGAAGCAGAACTAGCCAAACTACCCAAATTGTTTCCTCCGCTTGAACCAGAAGATGCGCCTCCAGCTGCCAGCAAGTTGGAAAAGTCCAAGCCGCCAGAAGCAGCTGGCTGTTGCGGAGCTGCGGGTTGTGATGATTGCGACTTGCGGGTTTGCACCGCCAAAAGGTCGCCATTTTGACAGCCTGCTGCTTCCAGTGATACAGTAGTATGTAACAGTGGTTTTCCATCGCGAAACAAAACGAGGTCGTCATTGTCAAGCCCAAAGAGAGCCTTTGCCCAAGAAATGATTTCCGCAATCAGTGTTGACGAAGGAACCGGAATGCATTCCGATCGACCGGTAACAGCAGCTACGAGAGTAATCGTCCAATCAGAAGATGATGAAGAAGACATGGTAGATGTAGATTTGAGCTTGAGCTGAAAAGAAAGTGATTGGACAGTCGAACCAGACCGACGTGCGGAGATGATGTTGTGTCGTCCATGGTGGTGCAAGATTGAGCGAAAGCTTGTCGCTGCGGCAATAATTCAATGACAGACAATAGAATAAAGACAAGCGACCCGACAACCACAACAAAGCTGGGATGGTCTAGGTGGTTATGACGACTGCCTAACACGCAGTAGGTCGGGAGTTCGACCCTCCCTTCCAGTATTTTTTTCACATCCTGTGATGACTCAGATGGAGGATGACCGCAAATACTGTACAAAGACGATGCTGTTATAATAATGCACCCCATGGGTCCGTGCTAACGATTCGCATCCCATGTGCCTTCATTTTTTGGCAGTTATGATTAATCCAAGCAATGGGTTCAACTTATTTTGTGGTGAAGGTCAATCCAAGCCAAGAGTCCACCCTATTTTGTTTTTTGGGACAATCCAATCCTAGGATCATCGCTAACTTGTGGTAGAGATTGATCCATCCAAGGAGTTCATATTAACTTGTGGTTATGGTTAATGCACCTCATGGGTCCATGTTAACAATTCGCATCCCATGTGCGTACATTATTTTTTGGCAGTTATGATTGAGCCAAGCAATGGGTTCAACTTATTTTGTGGTTAAGGTCAATCCAAGCCATGAGTCCACCCTATTTTGTTTTTAGGGACAATCCAATCCAAGGATTATTGCTAACTTGTGGTAGAGATTGATCCATCCAAGGAGTTCATGTTAACTTGCGGTTATGGTCAATGCACCCCATGGGTCCATGTTATCTCGCAGAAATGTGGTATGCTAAACTACTCGTGCTGCAAAAAAATAGTCATCGTAGCTCACCCGTGTCGCATCGATAACGCAGTCACAGTGGTTCTGCAATCTTTCGTCGTCGATCACGCATGCGACTGTGACTGGCCACTTTCTTCCATGCATTACCAAAACAACGATGGGTTACTCGCGAGCGCCGCTGCTGCTAGTCATCGTTTTGGCACTTTACTTGAATCTCTTTACTGGTGGTCAAGTCATGGCAATGTCCGATCAAGAAGCAAACGGTGAAGACGAAGGCGACGCATCAGATTCGTCACTCCTCGCGTTGAACGACGAAGATTCCAATGGCGGCATTTTGTGGGAAAATGTTGCATTCAGTCAAGGAAAACGAGTCATACTGGAACCATGTTCGTTTCACGTTGAGAATGGACGAGTCTGTGCCCTTCTTGGACCATCCGGTGCTGGCAAAACGACATTGTTAAAGTCCTTGGCGTCCGTGCTGAAGCACGAAGGTCACGTTTACCTTTACGACAAGACTGACAATGACGAAGACAGCAACGACCAAACGACGCTTCACTTGACGTCGCTACATCACCACGCCAACCGCATTGCCTGGTTGCAGCAGCAGGACCACTTCTTCGAGCGACTCACCGTAACGGAAACCTTGGAGCTCGCCGCCTACTTTGAACTTCCTCACTTATCTTCCAATGAACGTCAAAATATTGTATCCAACCTCATGGACGGACTCGGATTGCATCAAAGCGACTTTAACAACAATACCGCTGAGTATAAGAGTATTCGGAGCAAGAGCCGCAACACAAACCGCCCAACCAGCGTCTTGTCAGGAGGAGAGCGCCGCCGATTGTCCGTCGCACTGGAACTACTGAGCAGTGAAGACATTCGCGTCTTGCTAGCCGATGAACCAACGACTGGTCTCGACAGTGGTCGATCGGAACGAGTGGTGGGGTTGATTCGCAATCTGGCCAAGGAACGGAACGTTCCAGCCTTGCTGACGCTGCATCAGCCGCGATCCAGCATTTGGAATTCCTTGCTGGATGACTGCATTCTCATGGCAGACGGAGGACGAGTATGTTACGCTGGTACAACGGATGATTGCTTAAGCTACTTTGCCAATTTGGGATTCCATTGTCCGCCGGCGACAAACCCCGCCGAGTTTATTATAGACTTGGTGTCGGTGGACACCGAGGATGCCAAGCAGGAGCTACTGGACCGGGCGCGAGTTGATGAATTGGCAGCAGCCTTTCGCAAACATCAAGAAATCGAGCGCATAAGGCAGGAGAAGCAAAGCCATCGCAGCAAAAAGCAAGTTGCAGTTGTCATGGAGCAAGTCAACGGCAATTCGCGACCAGTCTCGTTCATGCCACGTCGCGGTCCATTGCATTGGATACCACGCTTTGCCGCCCTCGTTCGTCGCTCCTGGCGACAAAACTCGAGGGCGCACGCCATCAATGCCTTTCGGTTGGTGGCTAGCGCCGGTAATGCCATGCTACTCGCACAAATCTTTCCTACGGTGCGTGGTAAGATTGCCACGGCGAACAGTGTCGCCGATCGAGTCGCACTCTTGTCCTTTGGAGCAATCAACATGTGTATGCTTGCGTTCATGAAGACGGTGGAACTGTTCGCCAAGGAAAAGCCTGTGATTCAGCGAGAGCAGCGGCGCAACCAGTACACGGCACTGGAGTATTTGGTTGCCAAGGGGCTGGCGGAGCTGCCACTCGATATTGGCTTTGCTTGCATCTTTACTACTGTGTTAAAGCTTGCATCAGGGATTCGCATATCATGGGGACGCGTTTCGGCTGTCTTTTCGTTAATGACCGCTGCGGGAGCGTCGCTCGGGTTCTTGATGGGGAGCTGGGCACCAAGCGGCCCACTCGCGCAGCAGGCGGGAATACCAATTCTAGTCATACTCATGGTAGTTGGTATCATTAACCCCAGCGGATCATCAGCATCAATCGAAATTCCCTGGTATTTGCGTGCCTTGAAACTTGTCAGTCCGTTTACGCATTCCATCGAATCGCTGTGTCTTGGCGAATATCCGGGAATGCAGTTTCTAAAGCAAGGTCTTCTTGGTCGGATGGGAAACCTGAGAATGGGGGGCTTGGCATTTGTCCGAAATGGCGATCAAGTTATTGACGCGCTAGGGTTGCAAGGGAAGACCTTTGAAGGGACAATGAAGCAATTGGCTATGTTGACGGCTGCAAACTTCTTCTTAAGTTGGGTAGGACTGATGTTTCACGGGTACTACGACAATCCGCGGCATGTAGAGCAGCCACCGCAGCAACGCAACCAGCAGACTGCTGTTCCGCGGGCGAGTGCATTGCCGTTGGCGGTTCCAATTCGAACGCGACTTTAGATGCTTTGCACAGCGCTATGTGTCGCGTTCATGACACCGGCTTTATTAAGTTAGAATTAACAGTCTAAGAAGCTTTGCTGGTATGTACAGTTACAGCTAATGTTTTTCTATAATATTATACTCTACACACGTCCTACGCTGTCCAGAACGAAATGCCACCCGGCGGATGGTTTCTGTTGCTGTCGCTGCTAACATACTGCTGGACGTCTTCATCGACAATTGTAATCATACCGTCGTCACTCCCGATAAAAAGAAACTGAGGGGTCGGATTAAGATCGGCAGGTGTGAGCCCAATGCAACGAATAGGTCCGTGGCGAGCCAGGTCGAGCACAGCGCAGACCACCATGTCACTTGTCGTTCGTATCAAAACTTGGCATCTCGTGCCGCCGGTAATCAGAATTTCGCCGCTTGAGCAGATAATCATGTCATTCAACTTTTCACCCGCATCAGTGCTGCAAAGTCGAACACCATTTACGGTGAAAGTATGCAATCCAAAATCACCCATATGCACGACGACGATGCTCGTTCCGTGCATGGCAACTTTCTCTACGCCTTTAGAAGGTTTACCTTCGGCTAGCGGGGGAGGGTGAAAAGAGCGAATAAATTCACCTCGTCTTATTGTATGAATACAAACAAGACCACCATGACATCCCGACACGACGGCGTCCAGATCTGAGTCTAGGGCAACGCACGCCATCGGCGCTGGTAGAAAGAAGACGAATTTGAGTTGATCTGCGAACAGAAACGCGTCATTTCCTTTCATGCTTCCTACCTTCATGTCCCCAAAGAACGTGGCAACAGCTCAAGATTTGCCCGCCATCGTTCGAGGCACCGAGTACAGTCTGCATATATCCATCGGATATTGCAACACTCATATCCGGATGATCAATAACCCAGATACAACAGGTTCCATCTTGTGCACCCGTAACCATGAGTCCACCGTCTTGTCCAATCGCGAGACACGTAATCGAGTCTTGATGTCCTCCACAGCCATGAGCAATTTGCCGTAAGGTCTCTGTTGAGTGAATCCGAACAGCATCATCAAAATAGCCACAGCTTACAACATACCCGTTGGTTTCCGCATTAGAAAGCTTATCCGTGCCAACAAGAAGTCTGTTAGTCGGTGGCATTACAGCTTTCCGACGAATCAATTCTTTCGCCTGGCCGCCAATCGTCGCAGCGAAGGAACAGCTGCTAATGGTCCGATAGCTTGCTTCCATCTTCGTTTCACTTACAGCGGACCCTCGTTTGATTGAAGTACGTGATGTGCTTATCTCTCGCCTTGACATTGGATTCAGCTTGTCCATCCTCAATTGACCCTTCTTGCCCTTGAGAGCCCAACGATATGTCCCAATGCTCATGTCTCCGTACACGACTAAAATTGACTCAGTCTGGACATGAATCTTGAACACGGCTCCTTTTGCATGCTCGCTTCGTGTGTTACCAAACTGCTTCGAGGGAGTGTGGCATCTTAGTTTCTTGGGAACTGATAGGTCGTGTATCAAAGGTTTCCAGCACACTTCGGTAGGGTACCGGCAGGGATGTGGGTCGCATTGAATTAACTGACTGGGTGTTTGTCCAAAATTTTGAATGTGGCTTTCCGCCGCCTTGCGATCGACCATGTCGGAAATTTTGTCTAGATCAACGGATCCTTCATATGACAAATGGTGAAAAAGATTGTGCGCCAACATGGCTTCAGGGCCTCGCTGTTTCTCTCCAAATACTAAATCAAGCCAGTGATGAAGCGACTGTGAAACTATATCAGACTCTAAAGCCAGACGATGAAGTCGGACAAACTCATAGGGTGACCCTTTCGCCCAGGGTGGCAGCACCACATGATCGACCTGCCGCCCTCGTTGCGTGCGGCCTAGTGGAAATTTGTTCGTGTTTAGAAACATCTCGGGTAAACAGTAGAACTCGGGAATCAGCTCTTTCATGTCAGCAGTAGATGTCAGACAAGAGTTCCAACTATCAGCCAAGTCAATAAAAAGCCTGTCAGGGGAGTCGAATCTCCCTGACTGCAATTCAATGGCCATTGTTGTGAATGGCTCTTGTCGAATAAGATAGTGGAGCACGATTC